TTTATTATTATATTTTGTACGGTGGTCCACAATGGCAAAAGTGCTGCAACTTATAATAAAAAGAAACAGCCTGAAAATTAAGACATGATTTAAAGCAACTTTTCCACTTTAAAATAGCAGTCTCAAAGTTGATCTAATAGTACAACAACTTTCAACAGGCAGAATAGGATTTCTCTCATATCCACGGATCTGCTCGATCGCCTGCTTATAGCCCATGATGCTAATTTTTCTATCTTAATGTTTAAAGCACTTCTATGAGGCGAGCTTTGTTATTGAGCTAGATCAACAGTGTGCAGCAGTTCTTGCGAGAAGTGCATGCGGCTTTATGGCACTAGCCAGTTAGCCCGTCCAGATTGTGTATGAAGGAAGAGGACGTGACCAATGACGCTAAGAAGAGAAAAAGAGGGAGTGCTGATAGCCTAGCGGTTATGTTGCATGTCCCATGTACAGAGGCTATAATCCACATCACAGTGGCTGTAGGTTCAAGTCCATCCTCTGCCCTTTGCTGCTTGTCATCCTCCACTCTCTCCTCCCAACATTTCCTGTCTCTCTTTTAGCTGTCCTAACCAATAAAGGCAAAAAGAAAATGTACTTTAAAATTGAAAAGAAAAAGAGAGAGTGACGAGCAGGAAGCAGATATTATTCATAAGATATTGCTACAATAATGTTAGACTGAAATATTGTCTGTCATTGCTGTCTCATGTTTAGCAGCTTTATCGGGTGCAAAAAGTAATCCAACCAAAGTTATGTCTCAGGTTTGTATTCAAATAAATTAATAAATCTAGATGCTAGCAGAGTCATGTTAATGCAAAATCTAGTAATATTACTGTACCTTGTCAGTTTGTCTTTGGTTTCAACACTACTTATGTGCTTGTCATTAAATGCATGTTGTCTGTGATGGGGAGCCATTAACATGGACTGTAGTAATAGTGGATGAAGCATGAGTGATGTCACCCATTGGTTACTGCTAGGGGATTGGAAGCCTGTCAGTGTTTGGTACATGCTGGAAATGCTATCACACCCTAACTTTTTGTAACCAAACAACAAACTACAAGCTGGAGCTGAGGCGGGTTTTAAGCCTCGACAAACTTTTACATCTCTCCCGCCTGTCAATCAAGTCAGCCACATACAAACTATGCATAACTTGTTTCCTTCATAAAATCAAAACAGATGCGTTACAAAAGAAAGTCACCCCTCTGCAGTTTGAGCCAAAGAGGACAATAACTAATCAGACCAAATGCTGTAAACATGATAAGTTCTGCTGTAAAAACAGGCCTTTTTGAAAAAATATGCTGCAAATCACGATATCTCGCTGGAAGTAGCTCTAAAAAGGAAGACATTTTAGTGCATTAAAAATGATAAAGCTGGCTCATTAGTTGCAAGTTTTTCTGTGATTTGTTATGGGATGTTGGGCTCTGTCAGGGCGTCACAGAGCTGAATAGACTCTGACAGGTGGTGTCACTCCTACGCTGCTCCATCGAGCGCTGCAGATGGTGCGTTGAGAGCTGTGCATGCCAACGGTTGCTGTTTTGGAGATGCACCATACTCACCAAATCCCTCCTTCCTTGTTACATGTTACATGATAAACTTGCTTCCTCTGTAAAGAATGGAAATAATCACGAGCTGTGATATTGTGTTTTATAATTACAACATAAATAGGAAATGATAGCGATGTATAAAGACTAACAGAACAGCGAGGCCAGAAATCACTGAGAAAACACTGTTGACAACAAAGCCATGTAATTAATGAGTATGAAAGAAAATGAGCAGGGTTAAACAGTATGTACATGAAAATTCATCAAGAAATATAAATGTGAAGGTTAAAATATGACACAAGATAACTACACTGAGTCCACATGCAGTCTGAAAGAAAGAAGGCCATATGATTTATGCTGTGTGAGTATGTGTTTCACAAAATCAAAAACACGTGGCAGCAGCCTGAAAGCACAATGAAAAAGAGTGGAAGAGTGTAAACTTGACATGTTCCCTGTTAAAAATGACATGTTGTCAATTCATTTTTTGAAATGTTACATTCCTTTACAGAAAAACAATAACATTTGTCTGGTTATAAATGTTAAAGAAATCATTTGATGTGGGAAAATGTTAACTTGTTAACTTTCTTCAGAGTGAGATAAAAAGATTGATATCACACTGTTTTCTGAACCTTTGACTGAGACAGAAGTGGACGTCACATCAGAGTCTTGAAACTGAAGTCAACACAGAAGTGTCTTAAACCGGCATTTCTAATTCCGAGCAGGGGGCGACTAGTCAAGTTGTCAGAATCTATAGGCTTGTATGATAATTAACCTTTTTCATAATTGATTTATTACACCGGCAAACATGTCTCTAACAAGTGTCGCAATTGTTCTTCAGTAAAGCTTTACTGTATGTTCCACGGCTAACCTTTTGATAAACAAGTCGCTAATGTGTAAAATTGTGTTGTTTACTGTTCGGTTGTTCTAAAAGACACTCTGCTGTCCTTTGTCCGATAAGTTAGAATTTGTTAAAAACCTGTTTCGACATTCTCCAAATTTAGCCTCCCAAAAATATATCCCAGTTACGGTGAGTTGTGAATATAGCATGCTAGCCAAAATAGCCCTTTTGTTAGCTCATAACTTTTCACTAACCCCTTATCCTTATTAGCGCCATTCCTTCAGTCACTTCTGGCTCCAGACAATTTTAAGATGGTGACAGTTCAAATTCCACACTTGAGGCTTGAAAATAGTTTATTCTGTGGTCCTAGTGTTAATCATAAAGCTACTGCCAGCTGGTTGTACCTTTATAATAGAAGTAGGCTTAGATTAGACCAAAGACTGCACGCCTGGCTCTGTCCATAGGTAACCTTCAGGTACCCATAATTTCAATAAAACAGCATACAATCTTGTTTGTTAAATCCCTACACACACAAAATCTTACCCAGGCGATAAACATCTTCAATATTTAGCAACACAGATGCTCTTAGCGTGATCATTTTCAATGTTAGCTGTTTCGGATCTTTATGCTAAGATAGATAACTGAGTGATATAAATCTTCTCATCTTAATCTCAGCAGAAAGAGGATGTTGTTTCCTGAAAATATATCGATGGCCGTGACAGGATGACAAATGTATAAAATGCTGGTATTGATTCCTTCCGCCTCTTTCTTCATAATAAAACCTTTGGCTGCCAATTGAAGTAAGTTTTTGATATACAAACACAATGTTAAATCTCCTGTTACATCACAGTGTCTACTTCAACACAACCACTGAACAGTTGGTGGCGTCATCTCCAAGGCAGATTAAAGGAATTCTTTAAGCATTAGGGAAATACACTTAGTGCTTTTCCCCTATTTCAATTGTTACGCTAAGCTTAGCTAACTTGCTGGTTGCTAATGCTACATATTTTAGGGTGATGGCTACTTTCATTCAACTGACTAACAAAATGGAATGTGTGGATTTCCCAAAGGCTTCAACTTGTTCTTCATTTATAATTTTATCGAAAAATGTATGACCACATTTTTCTAAATTATTTAATGTGCATTAGAGCCCGGCCAATATATTGGTTTGCTGATATATTTAGCCAGATATTCGACTTTATATCACTATGGGAGTATATGTTTTCTGATATGTGCCATGATAAAAACTTATAAAAGCAAAAAAAGGAAATTCACGAAGAATGGATTGTGCCTGCCAATAGCTGCTCTGCTATCTGCTCCGTCTTAAGATCCAATTTACAAAAGCATACTGCGAAAATGATATTTAAGAGCAAACCTTCCCGGTAAGTTTTTTTTGTTGCTCCTGTTTTGCGTCTTATTGTGGATTAGAGCCATCAGTGTCTCCTCTCTCTGCTGTGCAGAGCTGAGCTGTGAGCTCTCAATCTGATGGAGCTCAATTCTGTCCACATGTAGATAGATGAACCCGATCGGGGTGCATTCTCTCAGGTTTATTGTGCAGTGCAGTACACTTTACAGTTGTAAAACAACTTTCACACTTTATAACAAAGCTCCTTTTTTTAACAGCCCGCACAGAGCAGCTTGTGCGGATAACAAAAACCCACTCCTGCACCCGTCCTGCCATCACGACCCAGGACGTCTCCACACGGACACAGTTGTGTGCATATTTACTGGGTTGAGTCACGACCTGATTTAATCCCTGATGTTTGATTAACAATACTGTAAAGTAATATTCACAGAGACAGACTTTATTCTAATGACCCATGTATTTGAAATTCTGTATTCCTTGTGGGATCTGGCACCGTGTGGTTCCTAGAGTGAAATTCAATGTTTTATCCAATGAGCCTCTTTTGCTTGAAAAGGGCCAATTCTGCCCCAAATGTCTGTATCATGAGTCAATTAAATACGCCCAAACAGCACCAGAGCACAGAGATGCTATTTGCTCTACAGCTCAGTGTGGGGAGCAGCTAATCCTCACAGGGCTTATTGAATTAGACAGTCTTTTTGTTGCATATGCACAGGTTTACCATGGCATCCTTTTGTGATTTAGATCCATAGTGCAGAAAACAATTGGGGTGTTTTAGAAATAACGTTACTATGAATTTGTCCTGCAGAGAAGAAACCATTGTTAACCATACTTTTAGCATTGTCTGCAGCACATGTTGCAGAGCGTCTCTGCTGAGCCCTAAGTTGGTCGCACTAGAACTGTATTTTAAGGACGCTACATACAGTATAATAAAGTTATTTGAAAAATGAAGCAGCCATCTTGAGTTCCTTTGCATAGGCATATTGGTACTGAATTAGTGCACAATCTATAGGTATGCTCAAAAATCCACTAAATCAGCTTCTATATTCACATTTGGTACATTGTTCCACTTGTTTCCGTCTTTTTCTCCTCAAACCTATATCGGCCGAGCTCTAATGTGCATACAGACTATTAGAGATGTAAAAATGGTATTCATCTTTGACAGCAGTTTTGTAATTAGCAATAAGTTATTTTGTATTGACCAGTGACATATGGGTTCCAGTTGTACTAATTTAAAACAGAGTCTGTGCCTCTTTCTTTCGATGTGGTGCCCCTTGTCTTCATGGGACTTCAGTCAGTCTTTTAAAGTACATTGAAGTCTTTGTAAAATCAATGTTCCTTGTTTCTGTACATACAAAGATGCACACAGTCTGAGTGACACATCTGTGATCAGTCCTCACTCGTGTGATTTAAAAAAGTTCCTAAGGATGATCCTTAGAGAATAAAGAAGCGTCCTTTCATGCAAAAACAAGAAGAGGACAGAAATGGGTTTAACAAACATCATCATCCGTGTATTAATTGACGTAGTAAAGCCAGTAGATTACGTTGAAGAGGGAGAAGGAGAAGGGGAATATAATCCGTGACCATCTGTCGATGGCATTCACATCAGTGAGGTCTGGGATTTTGATTTTCAGCTGTGAGGATCGTCTCCGCAGTCGTGATTTCCTTGGAAATGCATTCCTGTCCACGCTGGAGCGTGCTGACTCGCCCTGCTTGCTCGGCTTCCTGTACAGGACCCCCGAGTTGTCGTACAGGGTGGAGGAGGAGGAGTTGTGGGTCTCGGTCACGGTGGTGGTGATCTCGTTCTCTCCCACCTCGTTGTGTATCTCCAAGGTTGTCAGCAAAATGTTCCCCGGGGTGTCGACCTAGGCACAACAGACAGAAGTGGTGTTAAAAAATGCGCTGTGAGCTGGGGGCTTCAGTGACTGATGACACATGTGCAGCGTGTGTCGGGGGCTCGGGCCGCCTTTTCCCAACAGTCTGACAGATTACAGCCAGGGAAACAGAGAGCATCCTTCACTACCTGGTTTCCTGTCCCAAAGTTAAATCAGTGCTCACAAATCAGCTCAAGGTTGAACAGGATGGCTCTTCTACTCGTGACAGCTTCTGCTGCCCACACAAAAACATATAAATCATGCGGACCTATGTGGCAAAAATGGAGGCCAATATGTACACAGATAAACAACAGTGTGATTACAAAGAACGAGAGAAGGTGACAAGGTAATATGTATTCACGCCGTAAACTTCACTGTCAACCAATTTAAAGACATGGCTCTAACTCCATCATGTAAAATTATAATAAGAACATGTGGAGATCCACCTCAAACCTCAAACCTGTTAGTTTGTAGAAACCAAAGGCGAAGTTTTGTATTTAATAACCTGGAGCCCTTTTTTTTGCTTCAGTAGATTGATTGAACTGGCAAACAAGCCCAATCAAATACACAATTAATGTAGAAAACAATCCTAACAGATATTAACATAAAAGAAAGGATCTCTTCAGTTTCTCTTTGTTAGAGTAAGATCCTTTTTTGAACCAGAAACTCACTATCTTTAAAGCCACCAGACTCAACTGATAAAAACATAAATCTGACCTCACAGGACAAGGGAGTAGCTTGTATGCCACGGACCTTACTCGTTTGTTTGTTTGTTATTGTTTAGTGTTAGTGTATCTGTAATAACTGTTTAAACATCACAGTCACACAATGCCAAAAATGAAACAGACTAACAGATCGAGGCAGCAGAAGAGCAGCGACTCCTGTGTTCTGCCCGGTTAAATTACTTGAAAACGTCCACTTATATATTGTGATTGTTGTTTTAATTGTCTGGTAACATTACAGAAACAATACCTTCACAAAAAGAGCTCCTCTAGGGAAATGATCGTTTTCTCTTAGACCAGAACGAGCTGCTACATCAAGGTCTTCAAAGACAACAGACTCCACTGGAAAAAAACTTTCATTTAACCTTGCAGAACACAGGAGTTGCTGGTCCTATGATGCCTCCATCTTTTAGATGTTTTTTTTCTTTTCATTGTGTGACTATGGTGTCACAAATAGTTATTCAGGAAAACAAATTAACACAAACTAACCAATAAGTTCAGGGTTATATTAGCAACTCCCTTGTTGTGCAAGGTTAAATGACTGATGTCTGGAAGCCTGAAATGCCTGAGGTGGATTTCTGTGGGGTTTATTTGCTGTAATCAAATACTACAACAACCACGATCACAATCAGAACACATCAATTTTCATTTCACCAACAAAACATGTCAAAAAAGGGGGCTCATTTATAAAAGTGCAGAATTCCCCCTCTAAACACATCAGGGAAATAATGTGACTCTAGATTAAAAAAGCTTAACGTTATAATTATGTGTCAGTGTTTGTGTTATCGACTTACTGGAGAGAGTCCCTGTAGTCCTTGTTCTGTGTGCTTTTGTTTGGAAAAGAATAGAGAGTAGATATAATTACTCCATGAGGCAAATTATAAGTAGGTATTTCATGCAAGTTTGATGAAGACAAAACAAAGATAAAACTCTTAATTATGGGGTGGTTTGTTTGCTCCTGCATTACAGGATATGATGCAGGGCTACAAAAACACATCAAAACAATGAAAACACCACAGACGGAGGAGGACTGTTGAGAGAAATACTCTTATATATGATGGTCATGGTAGAAATGGTGGGCTTAGACTCAGTGATTAAACATCATCAGTTGTTAAATGAGGCGTTTAAACTTTGGAGCAGGAGCAGGAGAGTTTAAGCGGAGGTTTCGCAGATGTGACACAGCAGGCAGTGACAGACACTCACCCGTCGTGAGTGACGACGCCCTTGTACCTGATTGGACATTTTAAGAGACGAGGACTTGCAATTGCCTCCTTCCTGAAAGGACTAGCAGGGAGAAACAAAAACAAAGTATTCGTTTGAGCTTTGGTCACATGATCTTCATGTTTGCTATATAAAGGTTGAAGTAATATCCTCTGAATCATAGACTGTAAATAGGAGATGGATATGGACTCTTAGTTTAAAAAACAAAGCCAGTGCAATAGAACCATTAAACATGCATTTCATCTAATGGCCAGCAGGGGGCGATTCCACTTGTTGCTAAAAAAAAAAGGAGTCAAAAGCTGTTTTCAGGGGCAGTCCTCCTGAATATTTCTAGAGAATTTCTTGTTTTTCACACATGCACCTCACAGTGGGAGACTCCTTGTCGGAAACGAGGGCCGGATGTCTCCCTGAGGTATGACACGACGCAGACATGAAGACTGGGAAATTCTTTAATGTAATGGTCAGTATTCACACAGAAGCCGTTTTCCTTTGTCATCATGCTCAGGGCTGCTCAAATGTTGGTTCAATGATACTGCTGGGAAACCATTTTCAGTTTTATATGGTTAATCAGGAAATGAAAGGATAATTGATGATACACATCCAGCAAAACACAACATTTGATAACCCACTAGCTACCTTTTGGCAACAGAAATCGATAGCATTAACTATTTATAGCTAATAATACTTTGGCAAAGAAGTGACTCCTTTAGAATCATGTAACACAGCTACAGTAATATAAGACATCTGTCACTTCCTAGCTAACAGTTATACAAGGCAATAAGTGGCTATGGTTGAATGTAATGTTAGCTGCAGTTTGAGCTAACTGGTTTATTGATATGGTTAAACTTAAATATGGCCAGATTTTCACTGATCACATTTTTTTTAATTGTTGATCACTCTGTGCTGATTCCACTTTGCAAATGTCCTTAATATATATGACTTACAACATGGAACAAAGCAGATATAACACATATAATTTGAGCGTCCTACCCTGAGCATGATGATAGAAGAAAATAGACCCTGTGTAAATAATGACAACAGATGTCTGTGAAAAACAAACTGTTCTTCTAAGTTGATTTATCACCTCTGTAAACATTGTCTTAATAAGTTTATGGTCTCAACTGCATTTTCAAATCTTCCTAAAACAGCTTGATATTTCTTTTAATTATCATCCAGTTCAATGTTTAAAATAGGTATTAAAGAAGAGTATACAGCTACCTATGAATGACAAGTAGTAATCCTGACTTGTCCACTAATGTAAGGGCTGAGCAATGAGTATTCACCCTCTTGTCCAAATTTGTCCCCGCCCCCCTCCACAAAGGAAAATATGGCGTCAGCTAAAATGCCAAAATTTTCTCCTCTTACTGTACCTGGCTGATAGGACATTTTCTGTTACAGTTAACAATTACACTTCCTCAAATTCATCCATGGTTTGTGGAGTTCCCCAAAGTTCTGTCCTAGGCCCAATCCCTTTGTACCTGCTACCACCTGGTCACATAATAAAAAAGCAGGCCAGTTGCCAATGCTTCAATCTCAAATTTTTATAAACAGTCAGAGATTATAACATTTAACATTTTCAATCTGAATATTTTATACAAAGCAGATTTTCCTTACTATGGTTAGTTCAAATAATTAACCTCTTGAAGGTCCAAACATTTTTAACTGTGGGATCTCTCAGCATATGGAGAGCGGTATTTATGAGAGAGTATTGTTCACAGAGTCTGACATTTTTAGTTGCTAAGAATGGGAAAAAAAATGTCTTTTGACCTTTGGGGTTTATCTCATATCTATAGAAAGTTCTCTTTTGAATCTAAGGAGAAAAAACTGCTGATTCAAACTGAATCCTTCAGACTGCTCCTTTAAACCAACCTAATGAACTAAAAAATTCCTCACCTTGGGTCTATCAAACTTTTCCCGCTCGTTGTTGGCCTTCAGTGCCTTCTCAGCCAGTTTCTTCTGCATCTGAGGACCTCGTCCAAAGAAGATGTAGTTGACGAAGGCGTACTCCAGCAGAGCCAGGAAGACGAACACGAAGCAGCCCATCAGGTACATGTCGATGGCTTTGACGTAGGGGATCTTCGGTAGAGTCTCTCTCAAATGAGTGTTGATGGTTGTCATGGTCAGGACAGTGGTGATCCCTGGAAAAATAAAGCAAGTTGAAAATTAATCATTGTGTTGCAAATTGAAAACAAAAACTGGGTGCACAGTTTCTAAAACACACTACATGGAGTAAAACGGTAAAAAGGAAAAGGTACAAGACTGTGTTCACAATTTTATTATCTGGTAGTGAAGGAAATACACATCCCACAATCCATTGCATTCTCAAAAAGACCAAACAAACAAAGTTCAGCACGTAAAAAGAACGTACACAGACCTTTTTACATGTATATTTATCATATGTTGATAATAATGTTGTATTATATTGTTGTTTGCGTAAAATAGTGTGTTGAACTTCCTTGAACTTCTGTAGCAGCCGACAGCTGAAGTTTGCGGGGGCAGTAAACATTTCCATGGTAACAGAATGTTTCACCAATCAGAGACGTCGCTGCGATACTCTAGGATTGTGGGTATTGTAGTTCTTTTCCCTAAAATTTCAGATAAATTGATTTCATACAAACTTGTGTCCTCAACTGGAGCATAAACAATTGTTTCACACTCAGGTAGCATCCTGGTTAGTCTGCCTTGGATGGTTATGACATTATGGCTAATAATCAAATACGCTATGAAGAAAAAGAATGGGATTTTTATTCCTGGATCACACTGTTGAGCTCTATTTCTTCAAAATGCAACATTTCTCATATTTTTTACAGATGTATCTCTATTTGGAAAAGTCATAACGAATGATTAAAATAATTAGCTGGTTAAAAGTGTGACAATGTCAGGACCACTCAAACACTGAAAAAGGCTCCAATCATTTTATTTTATTCATTTCACTTTAAGTCTGTCTGCAAACCCAACAAAGGTTACATTTTCTCTCCACAGTTTATACTTCACATGGTTGATTTGGACAAATGCATCTTCTTTGTTCATTTAAAATATCCACGAACCAGCTAGTGAAACCACTTGTTGTTTCTGGAGGAAGTCAAATGAGATATCTCTTATTCAATAAATCTGTTTGCAGTCCATACCTCTAGGCTTAAAAAATAGTTTCTTCATTCTAGCTGCAATTAAAAATCAATTTGCTGATGGGCTGATATCATACTCATAAGATATGAGATGATGTTAACCTATTAACAGAGAGCCGTCTTTTCTACCAAGGTCATTCCCCTCTGGTGCTATTATAAACATTTCCATAAAAACTGTGTGACAACATTTAAAGAAAGGTCACAAACAAGTAAAAGCCTTCGTCCATGCCTCCTCTTTTCAGGTTTTTAATCTCCTTGGCTAAGCAGAAAATGTTCCACTTTATGGTCTACAGCTCATGAAGCATACAACGAGTAAACAGAGTCAGCAAATACACAACAAACAGCAGTGTAGTAATTCTCTTGATAATGTGCACCATCAACAACAAATGTGTCTGTGCTGTTTTCGTGTCTCCTGGATTTCTCACCAACCTGGACTGTGTGTGTCTATTTCTGTCGACTCAGGCTTACATAATTAAACCGAAAACGTTGCACTGTACAGTACTGTATGTGTGTGGGTGTCAGGAGCACTGTGGGTGTATGGCATTGATTCCTGCAGAACAAAGGCAGGAGCAAGAATCTCAAGTCTCTCTGAGCTCACAGGAGAGCGTTACTCAACAAATCCCAGAAATGTTTTCAGTGCAGCTCTGTAGAGTTTACTGTTTGACATTATAGCTTTTGTTATAACTTTATCAAGATTACAAAATCCACTTAAAGCCCCATATTTGTGTCCCTTTCGACATGATTATATCGATAAAGCACTTAGATCATCTTATGCCGTTTCTCAATGTTCCCCATAAACAACTTCACTTCTCGATTTGAAGTTAAATTCTGGAAATTTTAAACAAAAACAGAATTAAAAAAGTTGTTTCAGCAGATGTAAACTTGCATTGCCTGAACAAAAACCTCAGAACTTTTTCCCTAATGTGGCAGGATTTTTTAAAATTCAGGAAATATTTTATAGTATTAGAGATCAACGCAGTAAGGGATGTCGGGGTGTTTTCCAGTGATGAACTGAGCCTCATATTTGTGGAAAGACTGAGTCATCCCAGTTCAGTCTCCTGTTGCACCACAGAGCAGCACCAGTCCAAAACAGACAGAGAGGAATGTACAGCCATCATAACAGTTCATTTGAATGTGATGTATGTGTTGGAAGCTCTGCATGCATTTGATATTGATAAATTGAGCTTGGTATTTGAGTGTGATGTTGCATCCCTGATATTTTCCTCCATGTCCTCTGCTGGATGGTTTTGTTTTTCATACTTGTGCTGATACCACACCAAGGTTCACATTTCAAAATAATGTTTTGGGGCGTTTTTGAATTAGGTCAAACAAATGCTGTTTTATAACATCTTAATTTTCAGATAACAAAAGAGGCTGAATCTCTAAATTTTATATATTTTTTAAAGTTATTTTATCTTCCATTTTGCCTTCATTAGATACAACTGAAGAGAGACAGGAAATGTTGGGGGGATCTAGCAGGGGATGACATGCAGCAAAGGGCCAAGGCTGCTGTGGTGAGGACTATAGCCTATACGTACATGGGCGAGCAATATAACCACTAGGTTACATCTTTTGGATGCTTTTTGTTGTACTTGTAGATATTGTCCTTACACCCCTGCAGCAATCAATAAGTGAAAAACCCTTTAAAAAGGAAAAAAAAATGTGCTGCTGACTTGGTACTTACCTGTCTACGTCCATGTGCAAACTTTACCTGGGCACTTATTGCACATATTAGCACAATCTTTCATGAGCTATGGCAAGGCCGCCTTCTCTGATTAGCACTTTCAAATCCAGCCTCTTATTGCTGTTTCTTGTTAAAGGTACCTCTAATTCTATTAAGTTTATGAACGTCTACAAACACAAGGGTAAAAACAAAGCTTTGTCTTACAGTAGTTTCCCAGCCACTACACTCAGGACCATATTCACCAAAGGACTGTGCTGCTTTTGTTCCCGATAAACTTGTGCAAATGAATCCAATAGACATTGTCTAATTCAAAATAACACCTGGTGAAACGCACCCTGAATTGTGCTGCAGAGCTACAATCGTCTATGTGCACCGGTGCTTGTTGCACATAGTTAGATGAGCCATTAGTCAGTCAATTGTGGAAAAAAACTGTCCCCTTTTCTATGCAAAAAAAGCATCATTGGGGGAAAAAAAGCATTTAATTCACAAACACCGGCACTAACAGCCACACAGTTACAGTAGAGTGGAGCCAAAACCATCTGTTGAGGCCAGGTGGTTTATCAGTGAAGTCACAGGAAAGAGATGTCACATGCACACTTTCCAGTGATCAGGAAACACTTTAAAAATACATTATATGTGTGTCTGTAAATATTACTTTTAATGTTACCAGTGGTTAAATCAGTCTGGGGCTGTCAGCAGATGTTTTTTCTTTTCTCTTTTTTTAAGTGCCCTTGCCGGCTCTATTTGGAGAAGGAAGCTTTGTTTAAATGCCAACAGTTATTTTATATTCTTCAAGTCTGGCATGAAAAAAAAAAGTTCCCCCTCCCCTCCTAGCTCATCTTCTTTTTGTGGACATGAGAGTGAAGCTTGATGCAGAGTAAAGGTGAAGACGGCTTTTCTCCACATTGAGAAGGAGTAGACACAGGAGCAAAGGATGCCCAATTTTTGGAACTATTAGTAAACACAATCCATTCATAGTGAATCCGACCCTCAAAGTGCAGCTTGGAACTGCCAAGTCTCCACTCTGAAAAGGTGGTCATCGTTCAAAAGCCTGCAGACCAAGACTGTGAATCATCAAAGACATCAGACTGAAGGCGAAACCTCCAGAGCTGAGGTCAATCTACAGCACAGACACATCATACCTAATGCAACTCTGGCAGCTGAGGCGTCATAATTTATCCAGAACGACACCCAGGATAAGATGGTGATGAGTATGGAGGGCATGTACGTCTGCAGGATGAAGTATCCGATGTTTCGCTTCAGCTTGAAGCTTAGAGAAAGTCGAGGGTAGGCACCTGCAGGAGAAGGGAGAGAAGAAGAACCAAAAAGAGGTTTTATTCAAGAGGAACAAGAGGATTCTTCTCCGTTGAAGTAAACATGCGTGTGTCACACTGGAATCACACACACAAGATTATCTGTGTTCAAACAAAAAACTTCTGTTCACACACATACTGTTTTTGAAAAATAGTTTCAGGCAGTAACCACTGGGTCTGAAAAATGAAGCCATCTCAAAACTGACAAACGCTGCAGTACCTCAAATTGAGGTACTGATTGTCTCTTGAGCCACAACATAGCTGCCTGCTTGCATTTCATATGCATCACGTTATGTCAGTGAAGCATGTCTCTTATTGGCACAGCTGATCCTCCTGACAGATCAGAGTGGAATTTGTGACTGTGCAGATCTAAATTGCCTGTACAAAGACAACAAACTATTTTATCTACTTAAAATAAAGACACAAATATTTCCCCATGTTTCAAACCAAAAGCAAAAATAAAGCAGGTGCTAAACTCACCAGTCTGTGGATGGTTTGTTACTTTAAATGGCCTCAATGAGAGCTTCTGGTATCTCGTTAATTCAGAAAAACAGAGCTTTTATTTTCTCATGAGAAAGCAATACGCTTCCACACTTTTGTTTAACTTTAGTGATCAGAATAAGGGAAAGGATAGCTTTATTTTTAGCACTTGCTATTGTCAGAGTGACTCATTTTCAAGACACAAGATTATACCTGAGACTCTGCAGTCACTAAACAGTTTGTGCAAACATTAAGCGACCTTGTGTCCCCATAATGGTGTCCTCTGTAAGCGTAATAAGTGATGAAGCTTCCACCTGTGTTCCTCTCTGTGTCCTGGAAGAACCGTCTCATGTTAAAAGCTTCTGCAGGCATTCATTAAAGTTTATTAGCATCATGATTTGACCCTGACTGTAATGAGCTCTAATAACCCTCTCTGAATTATCTTCTCAGAAATGTTTGGACAATATTCATCCTACTCTGTGTTAATTCAGCTGGGGGAATAATATCTGTTGTGGGCCTCTGAGTTTTTGTGTTATAAGAGAATAATTCATGCTGTCTGCGCTCGGCCTCATGAATGAACAATATTTCTGTCAGTACAAACCCCCATTCTTTTAATTGAGAGCTTGAAGAAACAGAGGGCTGATTGCCTTTGTGTTATTATTCCTACTTCAGATGAATCAGTGCGAGAGGTCATGAAATGATTTCTATCTTGTAATAAGAAAACATCTTAGTTGTGGATGAACTCCTCCAAGAAAACAAAAATAACAAAAAGGAGATCGACTGATATTGAAAGTGATAATCAAAGTTTAGAGATCCAGAAAACTACTTTAGTTATCACATTGTTTTACTTCAAGTAATAAAAACACAGATTTGTGCCAACAAATCAGAGCAGTTTTGTTTATTCTATCAGAAATTACTTTGATTTTGTTTTGATTTTGTTTGTTTTTTTAGTGGGTAGGGACCTGTCATGTGATCAGCAACTCCTAAAATAAAGGCGGTCGTCAGCTGTTACTTACTTTAAGGAAACAAATTCTTCTGTCTGTAAAAACTGTCCTTCGGGTTATGCTGTTTGAATTGATCCAAAATTAAAACCAGAGAAGTTTTTGAAGCAGAAAGTTAAGACTGCTTTCTTCCTCATCATCTGGTTTTAGATCTTCTGATGAAACAATATGGCAAAACACGGCTAGCAAGAGGCATCTGGCTGCAAGTTGTTGTTTCCATGATCTTGTTTGATTGGAATTTGAAAAAAAAGCATTTAGCTGTTTGTTATTTTAGGAAGATAAAGCATTTTAAGATTATCTAAAATTGACACCGTAACCAAAAAAACCTCAATATGCCCTTTCATTCTGCCAATAAAGAAACAATTCTTAAAACCTCTGTAGTATCAAAAACACAAGGTGTTCTTTAGAATAAAAAAATACAAATATTTATTTTCAGGTTTCTAGGTTCAGAGTTGTTTTTTCATCTTTATAGTTTGTGTCTTTATTGAGCAAAGCCGATGGGAAACATCTCAGATTTAAATGTGTTCCTTCTATTTATGACAGATTTAAATTCATTCATCTACTTCTACCAGCTGAAGAAGCTGAGTAGGGTTTTCTGGCACAACCTCACCAACTACCAAGGTGCATGGAGAGGGAAAGGCTTGAAGAACTCAAACTAGGGGAGGTATGAAATGTAAAGAAATGTAAAACAAAAAAGGTCTATTTAAATGATTCTTGTAATGTGTTTCTTCTTCTTCTTCTTGAAGTTGATCCTCATATGACAAGTGTTGACAGAGCTTATTAACATCTACTAATAATGTTAATGACTTGTTTCACCTTTTAGATAACATGAAAGAGATTCAAGAGCTACTAAGAATTTATCAAAGCTCCAAGAATCTATTGTACACAACATTAAGGAAAAGTACTCATTCAGATGTCCTTCGGGTTAAGGTATAACTCCTTAAAAATAAGACCTTCAGATGTTACTGGGAGTCATTGATTCAACATTTCAATTATTCAGCTGTTTTAAGAACCATGCACTCACATAGGAGCAGCAGATGCAGCGGGTGTGAGTTTTAAACAAAAGTAAGAAAAGTTTCTGAGCGTTACACAAACAGTACAGCTTTATGTTTTTTACTCACCGGTGGAAAAGACAACGTTCCTGGAAACCAGTTTGTAGTCCACTATGGAGAACTGGGGGAGCTCGATGCGTGTCACCCCGGTCACAGCCGTGTCTCCTCCTTTCCAGTAAAACTCGATGTCATCTGTCGTGTATCCGTCTGCAAACAGAGACACAAAAAGCAGACGGTAAGGTATGAGTCTTAGGAATGTTAAAGCTCTGAAAAGTGACAGCCCGTTCTTTTTGTCCAAGGTCTGAAACTGTATGTATTTTTATTTGTTTGAGGGAGATCTGGAGGCTGATTTACACTTAGTCATATGAATCAAATAGACTCAACTGATTGGTGTAAATCTATATGTGGATGTGTGTCACTGCAGGCCGACATGCTTACAACACATGCAAGGGGATCCATTAGCACACAGATAGCCCAACATGTCCTACAGACTGGTGAAGTTTGACTAATCATTACTGAACTGGAACATGGAGATCACCGTCTGGTCCGAGTCATTCTGCAGCTCTAACCGGAGAGGGTGCAGCAGGCAATCTCATTGAGCAACGACAGCTTAATAAATCGAAAGCAATTCAGCAGTCGGTGCACTTTCTGTCTGCAGGAGATGAGGAGTGTGAGAACTTTTTTTATGAGACTAACGGCGCTGTTCACGGTGATGAAAAAGTGCTGCTGTCCGCCGCATTTATTTTACGGCGTACACGATGTGGAGCTCAAACTTACAACTCTCAATTTCCAGAGTGCAGTTCTGTTCGTCCAGCGGATATCTCCTCAGATCCATCATGCAGGCTGCTGTTGTCGTGATTCTGGAGCAAAAGAAAAGCAGAAGAGAGGAACACTAATCAGGTGACCCTGTTTTAAACGCAGCGGCTCATTTCTGAAGCCGTGATAACAAACAGGAAATTCAAAGTGATGTACTCCTAAAACAGTTTGTGTTGAGATGAGATACAAACTAATTTAATCCGGAACAAATTATTGTGCAAGGGATCCTGCAACGCAGACAGTCATTATTATCTGTTTGGAAGTCAGAGTCCTTGTCAATTAGTACTAATGGCACTTCCAGGCTTTTTGGAGCTGCAGTGTGAGTCTGAGAATCCATCCAGTCCAAAATGAACACATGAGATGAGTTATATGATATGAGCTGGAGGAGGCTTAATGGCTTCAACAAAACAAATAAAACATTAAAACCCTTCATACACTTCCCTGCACGTATGATGGATAGATAGATGATAGATTGGAGGTGACGGCACCAAGGCTGAGAGTTACTGCAAAAGAAATGTGACTGTGATTTTTAGCCAGTCGTTGAACCCCCCCACAGGAGTTTGTACTAGATGTTGAAATGTATTAATAGTGGTGATGGGCGATATGTTTCTGGCCTAGAAATGATTTCTGTAAACAAAGACAAAAGAGTGAAATGGGGTGTTGGGGTATAATCTGACCTAGGAGGGTATGAGATAGGCTATCCTGTTTATGTATGAACTAGACTAGCCCAGAATAAACCTGGGATATACAACTGGCTCGCCCACCTGGGTGTGGTCTGTGGAGGGGGTATATTTCAGGCTGATTCACAGACTCACCTGAGGCCGTAGAGAACAGTGCCGTCCGGGTGTAGTCGAATCATCCGGTTCTTCACAGTGACACCGTGAACAAAAGACTTCTTGTCATTGAGGAAGTATGTGTCGGGGACCCAGAGCTGGTCTGCCACTCTGTTGTCCAGGGTCAGGTTCAGAGGGATCCCCACATAGGCCAGTCTCTTATCTCTCCAATACTGCTGGAAGTACATGGTCAATGTGTAGTCCTGTGGGGACAAAAAACAGACGAGTTAAACTTCAGGATAAGTGAGAGGAATGCTGTGATATCATGTGGTATACATTATAAACGTTATGATTTGGTGTTATTTAGTTTTGTGTTTAGTGTTTCTCTATGTTGTAGTGGGTTTTTATGTATTTTTATTTTGTAGTTGTCTTCAGTGTTTCTTGTGTCCATTCCTTCCTCTGTGTGTTTCCCTCCGTTGTGATTGCCCTCATTGTCTTCACCTGTGTTTGATTACCCCATGTCTATTTAGTCTCTGTGTTTCTTTCCTTTTGTGTCAGTTCATTGTAGGTGTTTGTCGGTGGCATTTGTTGCATGTCAGTATACCTTTGGCGCCTTCTCTTGTTGGATTTTTTTGGAAGTAAGTTTTTGTTCGCCTTTTGTTTGAAGAATAAATTGTTTTAGTGAATCCTGCATCTGGATCCTGCTCTTCGTTTTTGCGATCCGTGACAATAACGACAGTAGTAGCTGAGACTGTCCAATCAATAGCCAGCCTTTCTTACAAGACAGTCATTGAGAGACGTGACTGTTGTCCAGAGCTTTTGGATGGATCTTTTGCAACAAATATATGGGGTGCCGGTGAAGTAGTGGTTAGTTTGAACGCCATATGTACAGAGGCTATTGTCCTTGAGCAGGGCTGCCCTGGTTCCAGAACGACCAGTGGCTCCATTCCCAACTCTCTCTATTTGTGACTCTATCCCTGTCTCTCTAATAAAGTCATAAAAAGACCCAAAACAATCTTTTAAATAAAAGGTCGTACACATGAACATGTAAGACAGTGATTCTCCCCAGTTTGCTCTGAGTCACTGTGCTTTGAGACCGTTCGGTACAGACCGGCCCTCAGACTATAGATCTCCATTAGTGCAGGCACAGCATCAACACTTTGTTTCAGATTAGTGACTCACCACATTTACCAGATAGATGGTTACATATACATTTAAAGAGACAGAGTCATAAGGAGATAGAGAAGTATAAATACTGAAACAGACATAGATAGGGTGTAGGTGGTGATGAAGACTCAGAATAAATCAATAATTATAGATTTATTTAGACACAGATGTATATACTGCACAGCCTTTAAATACTTACATAAACAGTACATTTATAAATATGTACAGATAAATACCGATAGATGTATAAAAGTTAAATGATGGAGAAAGATGTCCAATCAATGATGTAAAGAGATATAAGAGAGAAGAGCATATGAATGGATGGATAAATAGATATATATTTTATATATTAACAGCTCGACGTGCATTGACATCAGGCAGTTTCAATAATTGATTCAGAGTTCATTCACAGCTCGATCCATCAAACACAAAAGCTTTTCTTCCCGCTCTTTAATGGAGCTCTTTACCAGCTCGCTCAGCGTTATTCTGCTGACTAATGTTCTCTTTAATAAATAAGCACGTCTCAGGAAATAAACAAAAAACTTTGCCCTGTGCAACCATTTCAATCGCCTGGTGCGAAAACTGTTTTCACTGTACAGGTTTTTAAAAAATATCCACATTTTCCTTTTGGATGTAAAATCAATAAAGGATTTTATTTTTACACTCTGAACCAATAACTTTCAAGGGGTCCTTACCTGGAAAACTGCTGACCCCATCTAGTAAAAATAAAGATTTTTCAATCACTTTTGTCGGTGAGTTCATTAAAAAAAGAGACTTTGGTGGACAGGGACATGCTGCAATGTGCATGGCTGACAAATTGTGGGCTTGTTCTGTTGTGCGTTGGATATATTACACCACGTGATATGACTGACAGTATAATATAAAACATTATTGATTCATGTGAATAATTCAGTGTGTGTGTGTGTGTGTGTGTGTGTGTGTGTGTGTGTACAAACAACACAAAGATGTGTTCATTCAACTCCCCAATGGTAAAAGTTTCCTCTGCTGAAACAGGATGGCTTTGGGGCGGCTAGTTACTCTTGATGGTCACTTTACATAGCAACCTCTGTCATCAGTGTGTGAATGTGTAGGTGTGACCTACGGTGCAAAAGCACTTTGAGTAGTCAGAAGACTAGAAAAGCACGAAAAAAGCTCATCTCTTAAATGACTATTTAAGAAGAAGCCCGCAGACATGCTCTTCCTCCCAGTCCTCTTTCACCCCACAGAGCAGAAGAAGCCCTCATTACTCCCTCTAACCATACACCACTCAGATGTAGGCAGAGTGAATCAGCTTTACACAACACTCCTTATGGAGCCCATCCACCATCTCACTCAACGTCTGGATCCAAAGTCTGTTTCAGATCTTCAGATCACACCTCAGTAGTGATCTAAAACCTTGTTTCAGCATCTCAGAAACAAAGCTATGACACATCACTGTAACTGTTACACACCGTATACTGTATACATCCTCCAGCTCCTAGTGTAACCTGCACAGTCCAACAGGGATCTATTTTACTCCTCAGTGTATTCTCCAGCATGCGTGAGCAGCGAATCATCTTCTTGCAATACAATGAAAGCAGGCAAACTTTGAGTCAATTTGCTTTCAGTGGGTCCATGTTTTTACTCTCACTTAAAGAGCGTGGGGCCAATTAGTTCCTTAATTAATGACCTGTTAGCTAAAAAAAAAAAACTACCAGCATTGAGTATTCCACCAATTAGTGACATGGTTAGTTATTTTCCAGGGCATTGATTACTGACTGACAGTGATGCAAACAAGTGAACATCAGAGTTTACATGTTTTATAAATGAAGATAGCCTTACCTGCTCAGTGTGTCAGCGAACAGGGTAAGCAAAGTGTTTAATAAAGTTTGGAAACGCCTGGCATGGTTCTATTTCACAAAGCTTTTTGCAAATCTTTTGCAAAGGCAAACATAACAAGCAATGCTAAAATCATTTAATTCTTTTTCACAGTAATGAAGGAAATTCTTAGTGCTACATACATATACGATTGAAGATGGTTATGTTTCCTCAAATAGGTGTGATAAGGGTCATATCATTTGCATCATACTCATGGCCTGGGGGGAATGGGTGTCATTCTTTGTCTTTACATCGACTTTGTGTGTTACAGGACTAGTTGATCATTTTGTGTAGCTTTTGGTCATAATGCTACTTTCTGTCAAGCAGCAAATGGAAAGCAGGTTCCCCAAACAAAATCCTCCAGATAGATCTTAATTTGATCTGTGTTTTGGCCCCCTAAAGGGTGAAGTTGTTTGTCGTCAGGTATTTAGACGACAAGAGACAGAAGGAGGTTTTGTTCTGAGCACCGGGCGACTAAACGAGGCCCAGTGGGAGGAAGAGTCTGTCGTATCGTCTTCGGCTCGGAGAGCATACTATTACATACTCAGACGTGGTTACTGTGTGCCAGTCAAACATCGTCTACGTCAACCCAACGCCAGGAGATCTGCTGGGAATACAGGAATAGCACTGAGAGATGCTTGTCCCGTGCAAGAGGGGGGCTTTTCATCACTCTGTGAGACGGCTGAGTGTTCCCAGGAGAATTCAAACTGGATGTTTTACAAGCCAGGCGTTTACTAGATTCATTCACTCACTGCATCCTCCCACACAACATTTAACAAAACCTTTTTATGAAATGATTTCATTGCCGTCACCACCTTCAAACAGGATGTTTGTCTCAGGTGTGCTATTTTTGGAGAGTGGAGGGATTTGGGCACAAAAGAAAAAAAACTTTTTTTCTGTAAGATCCTGGCAATCATAATTTTTTTTTTCTCCAGTCATCACAGCATCTGTGACGCACACTGAATCTGAGACAGGATGAAATAATTTAAATCTTTTGAGCTCCATATTCATTTTTGTAGGCTTGAAAGATGGACCAAAATAACATACACCTTTATATGTAAATGCATTTTGCAGTACTTTATGCCACATGTCAAGTTTAAACTCAACATTTTTAATGTAAGCATGAACTACAGGATGAGGATACCTTTTAATAATAAAAATAAACATGCATTAATTAACATGTCATGCATTAAGGATTATACTTTATATAACTATTAAAACATGAATGCATGTTTGATCATTATTAATACCTCTCTAGAATATTAGAATCAAATAAATAATCTTTGTGCTGGTACGCTTAAAGGTCACATATTATTCAAAAGACACTAACATGTTTTTCTTACACTAATATGTGTCATTAGTCTGTCTACAAACCCCCAAATTATGAGAAAAGTCCATCCTCTCCATCTTTTGCCTGCTCCATTTTTCAGAAAAAGTGTGCTCAAACAGGCTGTTTGGAGATTTTCCCTTCATGGCATCACAAAGGGCAGTAACCCCTCCCCCAGGTGGGTGACACTCCCACAGCTAGGTGTTTGTTCTGCCCTCTGAGTCTGCCTTCTCACCGTAACAATAGGACATGGAGTGAGAAAGCCCAAGCCACATCCAGAGAGGGGGGCGTGGTCAGACACAGCTCATTTACATTTAAAGGTACAGACACAGAAACAGCTTGTTCTGAGCAGAGCTGAAATAGAGGGGTTTAGAGACATGATCAAATACAGAATCAGTGTGGATTCAGAACAAGAAACCTCACAGACATGTTCTGAGGAGCTCTGAGACTGATTTACACTTGTTGAAAAGAATGATACTAATTGACAAATCTAGAGTTATTCAGCCACAATTAGCTTCATGTAAATCAGGTGTATCAACACAAGAAGAGCACTTTGAGCTCCAGTTTTATTTTAAGCACCTTGTTAAAGTGACGAGTAGAGAAATTCTGCTGCTCAGAGGGTTTATTTCGCTGCAGGGTCACGTCCCACTACTTTATAACAGTAAATGCAGCATTGTTCCAGCACAGTACAAAACTCAGCATGTTGTTCAAAGAGGACTATTTCTAGCTGACTTCTCCTTACCTTGTGAGTATTTGTGGCCTCTGGCTATTTGATGTGTTATGTGGCTGACTTATTAACTGAGCCCTTCGATATAAATCTGAGAACATCTGTAGTTTGAGTTTTTTAGGGCTACACTCCCCGCAGGCAGAAGGTGGATAATGTTAAAGTGTCAAACTGGAGGGCTGTTTTAG